AAGAAGTACCGCGCTACGCATTAAGTCCGGTGGTTTGTGTTTACAAAGTTAACGGGGAAACAGAATAAGAGGGACAGACAGGAGGAAGCATGGAGGAGAAGGAAGGGGCTCTGGGTTCACGGATCAACGCTGGGATACAGGAAGGTAGCCGTTGAAGGGCTAGCGGTGGGAGCAGATATGCTTAGTTTAAAGAAATAAAATAATTTTTAAATTTTTATAATGATATTATGAGCTAAACGTTAAGATTTGAGGATTATAATTAAATTATTAATAAAAATATATTTATGAATAAATAATATTCGTGATATATATATTAGTTTTTAAGAAGATTTTAGATGGCACCAAACCCCTAAATTCTTTTTATGAGCCCTGAAATGTTGAAGTTTTATTCGGACTTTTCGAGAAAAGTTTAATATTAATTCTAATTTCGTACTCTTTTAGGGGTCATTTAATTGGACAAAAATATAGAATAAAATAAAAAATAATGTAAAATAAATATAATATATTTGAAATACTTAGAATTATTTGGAGGATTTTAAAATAAATGCATTTGATTTGAAGTGAAATGAATGTAATCGATGAACAGTAGGCTATAGCAGCCTCAATGACAAGGCAGTAGACGGTAGCAGCTAGCCATATATGTTGATGGCTTAGTGAGGCAGTGCTTGGTGTCGCTAGCTGCAATGGTCATGAGCAATGATCGAGAGGCGGCATCAGTAGGCAGTAGTGGCCAATGGGCAATATGTTGTGCCAACAACTAGGGGTTGTGGCTTGTGGGCGGTGATCTGAAGCAAGTAGCAATAGTGGCGGCGAAAGGTGTCGGCTATCGTTGTGGCTGATATGAGCAGCAGAGTAACTGTTGGCAGCTAGTGTATCACTGTAGCGGCTCACGGTGGTAGTTGAGGCTTGCGATCGACAATAATGACAAAGAAAAAATTTGAAAATCCGTTAAATCTAATAATTTCCAAATGTACTAAAATTAAACTAAAGGGTATAACAAATTTTCATTATACATTTCATTTACTTTAGATCAAACATTAATAAAGGAAATTAATGAGGCATAAAATCAATAACTTTTCATCCATTTTATTATTCTTTTATATTTAAGTCAATTTCATGCATGCATTTGTGATCTCGTTTCTAACCTCAATTCTTACATATTAACACAATTCTAATAATTTTTTTTTGTATTAATTTCAAGATTATTGTAATTTATTGATCAATAATTTCCTTAAATTGTATGGAAATTCTTTACCTTTCTTTCTGATTGTTGTAGTTCATTGACAACAGCTACTAAAAATCTATTATTTATCATTGCCACGTGGCGTTTGAATCACGTAGCAATTGGACCTTATATAAATAGAGCAACATAGATTAGTTGAAATAAAAAATATATAGTACTTCGGTTTTTCATGAATTTTTACGTACTGACAGCGCGATTGGCGCCATCAATCATTAATAAGGCTGCGATCAACCTTTGATCTTGAGCTAATTCTACATTGGTTTAAGATTAGCTTAAAAAAAATACGTTTAATATGAGTTTGGGAGGTTTTAGATTGGCTATATACTCATTTTTCATTTTGTTGAACTTAATCAAGTCATAATAAAGGCTTGAATCATGTCAAAATGAGATTATGAAGAAATTATGACGCGAGGAGTGCAGACGTAGAGTTACATTTGGATTTTCAATATAATGAAGACATGTGTGTGTTTTTTTCTAGCGAGATCGATGGCCTAATTAAGCCCAAAGTGTGTATAAAATTTTCTTGTGCACACACTGTGTATAAGTTGTACACAGTTTGTATAAGTTGTACACAGTCTGTGTACAAGCTGGCCAGGTCATTAGGTCACGCTAAAATTACGTGTCATGATTTCATTGGAGTGTGGATGTGGCTCTACGTCCGCACAAACTCCAAGTGTAATAATTTCTTGGTTGATTGATATTTCATTTGGGACAATTTTCTTACTGATTTCTAGTATAAAATTTTTAGTTCAAAAATTTTTGTACTAGAAAGCAACTTTAGAAACCCGTATGAAAGTTGTCCCAAACGAAACCGGACATCGATCTTAGAACTTGCATATTTAGAAATATGGTAATGTTTCATGCCACCTAGAATTGAATCTTGAACGGATTGTCTGAAGAGTTAGCACTAATTTGATCCTTATTATTAAGATGTTGAACTCGATCGATCGAGTGATTTATGAAACCACATTTATATTAATCAAGACAATTCGCTCAAAAGAACTCGTCAACTTACATGACATAGTCATCAATTGATTATAGGTTTTCAATAGAAGAGCTAGTCGAGGGAACTCGCGTGCAACTCCTCTAATTAGAAGCCAAACTCAAGCTTAACTTGTAAGCCGCACAACTAGCTACAACTAGTTTATCTAATAATAATAATAATAAAACTAGTTTATCTAATATATTTTATATGTAATTGTACGAAGTTATGTATTTTATCGTAAAAATCATAATCATATCCTATAAAGTGGATTATCGATTGCAAATGTGGATAAGAAAATATTTATAGTTAATCTAATAGAATTCTCTATAATTTTTTTACTATAATTATTCCTCCATAACCCAATTATTTAATTGAAATTTTGTAGTATGTAGTATTTAAGGAATAAATCATTCCTATAAATTAAAAAATATAATTATATATTATTTAAAATATAATTAAATATTAAATTTTAATATCATATGTTCTTTTTGTGATTATAACCAAAACCATTTCCCACTTTTTTATCTTAAAAATATTTTTGAAAAAAATGACTAAATGTTTTTTATTTTTTGAATTCTTAATTGACAACTTTTGAAAAATATGATTCAAATTTGACCTTAGAGAAATAATATTTTCCTTCTAACCTTTGGGGCATAAATCCTTACTCTTGTGAGCAAATATTTAATCATAAATTTTTTATATTAAAAATTAACTAATTAGATATTTTAATTAGAAATATTTTTAATCACACAAATGACAATCAATTTTTTTTTAAAATATGACTAAAAATAGTAAAAAATGATATTAAAAGATGCACTCCACCTTAAAATATATAAAAAATAATTTAACATTAAAAAAATCCAAGTTTGCATCTTAAAAAAAAAAAAAATCGCTTAAATTTTATTTAGGACTTTCTAAAATAAAAAATAACTCATTAAAAATGTAAAAAAATTCTAAACTGATAAGTGATAGTGATACACTGATAGCAATGGTCTATTACAAGAAAGGCCCTTCTCCTACGTTGTGTGCCACATGGCTTGCTAATTAAGGCTTTGCTAGCTTTCTAATACATAAAAAATACTAATTAAGACTTTATTAGCTTTCTTAATATTTTATAAAACAATTTTTTGGTAAAAAAAATTTTAATCAGACATCTTTTATTAAAAAAATACTTTAAAATGTTGCAAAAAAACCATCTTAAATAAAGCTTAGGCTTCATTCGAGACAGTTTTAGACCATTACTTTTTTCCTGCTTTTAAAAAATTTGAATACTAACAACAACATTACAAAAACAAAAAAAATAGTCCCAAAAGCCTTGGAATGACTTCCTTATTGCTTCTTAAAGTAAGTTTTTAATAAAAAATTAAAATTTTTATACTAGAAAGCTGCTTTAAGAAGCACTAAGAAAGCCCTCCTAAATCCTTTGCAACGACTTTCTAACTGTTTTAAAAAGTAATAAAAAAGTCATTCCAAACAAAACCTTAAATGTACAAATATCATTTTATATGTTGCAGGAATAATAGCTTGGTGTTGATCTCCGGTGAGAAAAGAGTGTGGGAGAAGAATTGCCCGCCCGAGTAATATCATTGGATACTTAGGCTCCGACTGTAGGGATTATAGGTTCAGGACTTTTAATAAAACTTCTGATTCACTCAGTTCAAACATATACATTAATAGAATTAGTGAATAAAAAATATTCCTTATGCTGATCATTAAATCTTAATGCTTAAGGATTCAATGGGATCAATGATGTGTAAGGAAATCACGACGAGAGCTCACTAGAGGTGGCATCGATGAGGTTGACCTCATGTAAATGAGAGCAGGAAATTACTACAGGCAAAAAATCGGCGAAGCAAGTGATGTGTGAGGAGATCACATTCAAAAATTCTTATTAAGTATCACATTTACACATTCAATAAAAGGATAAATTATTTTGTGCAGAGACCGGATGTTGAACGCCGTCCGGATACCAACCATAATGCGTCACATCAATGGTACCGAGCTGCAGTAACGAGTGAAGATGTGACGTGGCACATTCTGTTTAGTCTCAGAATGACGTTCGGCGTCCGCACAGAATAATTTTTCCAACAAAAGACCTCTCATTACAAATATTTTTTTACACAAATCAAAGTTCTCGCGTGTCTAAATTGATATATTAAAAAAAAAAAGAAAAAAAAACATTATTAAATGAAACGCAAGAAGTCATCTATAAGTATACAATAAGCCTCCAAAATACTATTGTGATTAATTTGTGAAAGCTCAAGCATGGTTCATGATAACAAGTAAAAGCCAATTAAGCACGCTATCAAAGCCAAGAAGCTAAGGCTTCTATACAGAAGCCAGAATATCAGTTTTTTTAGCTAACCTTATAGCTTGGAGCTTTTCAGAAAAGCTTCTTTCACCATCACATGCATAGCTAAATTACCTGCAAAAGCAGGAAATTAATTAATCTATCTTGACTTTTGTGAAGGAAATACAACAGAAGAAGCTAAATTGCAAACAATTTAAGCACAGTCGCACAGTCCATGCGGTCTTCATGGAATTAGTCCTCAAAACAATGCGCCATTGATGCATAACTGACGTTATTAAAAGTCAGCAGCATCCTTTGTTTAGAACAAAAATGAAATTAAAACGCAAGACTATCATGAAAGGCATGCAGAGATTTTATTTGATATGAAAATTAATCCGCCATCAAAGGAACAAATTTGGATAGAATAGTTTGATCAAAATTTTGTCAATGAATGTTGAAGTTGCATAAGTTGTATAATATATGAACAATTAATTAAATTTTATATACAAATAAATCATATCATAATAAATTATAACAAGATGAATTTAAAAATTATTAAATTTACTTTAAAACTCCTTTTACATATGTTATGCGAGTTTTAAAATAAATTAGTGACTTTCAAATGTAATTCGACATAATTTATATTAGAATATCACGATACTTTTTCAATTTATATTAACACTCATCTAAAAAAAAAAAAAAAAAGACTAATTCTAACTAAAAGTTTGGTCAAAAATATCCTAAGCCAAAAATTTTCACAAAAAAACTCCATTATATTATTCAATTACAATTACATGAAATAATGCCCATAAACTATCAACTAAGATTTCATTTGGGACAGCTTTCTTATTATTTTACAACGTTGTTATAAATAAAATAACTTCTTCAAAATATTGTAGAAAGCAGCTTTCAATTTGAAAAATAAAATCGTAAAAAAATTATCTCAAATAAAATCAAAGGCAGATATAGAGCTATTGAAGGAATCATATTTATTCACAGAATATTCTCATTGAATATTCCAATATATCAAAAACATAAGCCATAAGGAAAGAATCTTAAAAAAAAAAGTCTTCAATAAAAATTAAACTCCATGAATCTTGAACTCTAAGCTACACGTTAAGATTATACAGTGAAGGAGGCAAAAGTCTTGTATTAACATGGCATGTAGAATTGTCTGAGTATTCAAGAAAGGGACAAAGTGCAGTAATTCCGCTGTGATATAGGGCCAAAATGCATGTGGAGAGTAAACTGAACGATGCATGTGGTCGCACTTTGGTCCAAAAAATTTCAGTCGTTTTCTTCCTATTTGTCTTCAACTCCTCGTTTTAAATTAGTAAAACTTAAATTTTGATAGATGAATATTTTTCTTTTTATATGAATGCAAGAAAATTCAATTATAATTTTATTATATTTATTTTAAAATAAATATAATAATGTTGAGATTCATTTTAATAAAAAGAATATAATAATGTTGAGATTCATTTTAATAAAAAGATTTGATCAGAATATTTTTGACCTATTTTATTACTTTTAATGAACAACAGACAGGATTACCTGTACTGCTAAGTCGCGGCTGCAAGAATGGCTGCTCCATCTCTGCCCATAGCAATGTTCACATGCTTCAGCTAGTCATGATCTGCAGGGAAATGACCAGAAACATTGAATGCCGTTGATAGATATGAGGAATGAAAAAGTAAGTTACCTGTTTCACATTTTTATAAGAAAAAAAAAAAAGTTGAGTGACTAAGATTTTGTTTGCGACAACTTTCTTATTGCTTCTTAAAGTAATTTTTTAATACAAAATTAAAAATTTCGTACTAAAAAATTGCTTTAAGAAGCAGCAAGAAAGCCGCCCTAAAAGCTTGCTTCAAGAAGCAGCAAGAAAGCCGCTCCAAACGAAGCCTTCGTTTAGGACGACTTTTTTACTGCTTCAAACAGCTTTCTAAAAAAGCAATCCTAAACGAAGCCTAAATCTCATTAGTCATGGGGTGACAAATGTCCTGTGTAAATTATAAGATTACTCCATCTATAGGCATCTATAGGCAATATATCCTGAACTAGATCTGTTCACCATAGACCCAACACAATTGGCATTAGAATAGGCTTCTATAATTTTAAATTCTCCTTTCTAAAAGAAAAGACACATTTCAGGGGTTTTTTTAGAGTATTTGAAAATCGTATAAAATGACTTAATATGTACTGCCATAACATAATTCAATCATTTTTCTTAAGACTAGAAAGATCTTTGTTAATAGCATGGGTACAATTATTTTCTCTGGAATATTCATCGAAGTAAAGCATGACCTTGCTAGCACTGTCAATCCTCTTTTTCAATTTTTGATCCTTAAATTCACAAGATTTGGATAATAATGTGATAAGTTGTGAAGTTCATTACCTTGCTTACAAACAAGAGATTGAATGAGAGATTTCAAATATATAAGATTGAATTTAGACAAAACTCATAGTTAATTCTAATGGTCACTGTCCTAGCAATAAGGAGCAAAAATACATCAACAATTTTGAGTTTGAGATTTCCAAGAGAATGAGTGTAAGAAGAGAATGGGTGAGCATAAAAGGTCATGTGAGCTAATGCTTTTAAGTCAGTAATCTAAAATCTCTTCCCTCTCTTAGTAAAATGGAGACCAAAAGAAAAAAAAGTATCTTTGGAGGCCAAAGGGAGGTGTTGGAAGCTTTTCAAAATTGAGTAATTTGTATAAAAGATTCATTTACTCTTTATTTAAGAAAATATTCCCAAGATTATCACTATTTTTCATCTTTAATCAATCACTATAAGTTTGATAAGCGTGTCTTTGCCTATTTTTAGAAATGTTATAAATTGTTGGTTTGCCATGGAATTTTCAATAATTATTTTTAGTGATTCTTTTTTTTTTTACATACATAACACCAAAAATTGCCTCTTTCAATACCTTAGGTCATGATCTAGGTTTAACTCAAGACTTCTACTACAGTAGTGGATTGTTCAACTATGAGAGTGTTTTTAGTACCTCCAGGCATTATTTTCCAACTCTGTTCTTCCCTTCGGATCTCAGACTACAACAAATTATTCATTAATTTTTGCAAGTGAACAAATCCTTAGGATTCTTCGCACACTACTTTTAGCAATTTAATGAGCTGAAAGAAATCATAGATTCTTGTTTCCCCATAAATTTGATGTATTTACCTGCACACTTATTGCATCAATTATTTAGCTAAAAAATATCTGATTATTGCCAAATTTTTGTATGTGTAAAGTGTTTAGTGACACTCATGCTTTTAGTTGCTTGAGATCACAAGCTGTACCTTGTAATTCACAATCGAGCGAAATTTTTATGGAACTAATAAACTAAGACATTACTAAGGCATTATAATATCCCATCATATACAGAAAAAATCAACCAAAATATATACACTCGGTTGCTTGCGGATAAAAAATCTACTATAAAATATGATGACATTAAATATTTAATATTTTTTCTCCAGTAAAAAGTAATTGCCTATGGCAGTCATGATTATTACATAACAAAATGAGGGTCACGCAAAGTATCAAGAAATGTTTTACAATTAATGAAAAAATGATATAATCCCAAGCCAAACTTTGCCTTCCCATATCATAAACTAAGTATTTCCTGAATTTCGTACTCATACATAAGTTTTTGCTTAGTTGCATGCATGCATGGCTTAAGATTATGATCAAGTAAGTATTTTCTTAAAATTAATCAATTTATCATCAGTAATAGTAGTAGCTTTGTCATGATCAATCTTATATCCAGAATCTCTATCATTGGAGTTTTGGCTTCTAAGTAACTGCAATCCTTGAATACAATTATTGATTTGTTTTATCCTCTATAAATGTGACCTGAGGAATAAGTATCTAAAGATCTACAGTAACTCTATTTTTGGCCTCTTTTTTTTTTTTAAAACACAACAAAGGCGCCCATGCAGGGTATCTGATCATTCTCATTAAAGAATCTTCATGCCATACACAAAATGTAGCAGTACAGTTGCTTCTATACGTTACTTCTTTCAGCTAGTATTTAATACGGTCCTAATCACATTATTCCTTCCATCTAAAGTACTGGATAACAGTATTCTCTGTTTAAGCACGCCATGACTTGTCAAGTTTTTCTGTGAATACCATCCCAAGACTCTATTCCGGTCAAATTTTGTTAAGAAAGCTTTCACATGCTCTTGGTTTGGTGATTTTCTTTGATATGATAGCGACTCAGTTTCAAAGCCTTTCAAACAACTTAAATTATGAATGAAAATCTGCATATTGATAAGAGAACATGACTGTAAAAATGCAAAATGTCATAATAATTTGATGTTTGTAAAGGTCAATGAATATTTCTCTTTGATAACGTCCAAATGCAAGATTATAGAGAGGGTGATTGGGTGCAACCAACAATCAAACTCTTAGCGTGAAAAAGCAAGCAAATAAATGACAAAGGAGCAAGGTAGGCTAGATGAAAAATATGATCAGGACTTTTGATTGAATTTATTGAATATTGTTGTCTCAATGTTGAGGTGTTCAAATGGTTAATGAAACAAGACTAGATCTTATTTGAGCCATTCATGGCCGACAACTTATACATGGGTTTTGCTAGGGGTTTCGTGGGGTAAATGGTGGGAGATTGGTTTGATATTGTAAAGGGAAGTTAGAAGAAGAGATCTACAAATAGAAAGCATAAATATTTGCATACATATAAAACCAATCATTCACCAAAATGATTAGGATTAAAGATATAACCCAATTTCTACAAGGAGTGGCAAGCTACCTAGCCCTCATTCTCACTTTGAATGAACTCTTCAAAAACACATCAACCTTATTATGTTCATAAATATAAACTATTTATAGTGTTTTACATCAAAACAAAATTCAAGAAAAAAAAGGGAGGAGGAGTTGGAGGCTGGCCATGTGAAGGGGCGGAAAGGGTAACTACCACTTTTCAAAGAGGAGGCAAGGCATAGTTGCATGTAATTTTTTTTCTTTCATTTTTCAACCCAATTTCATTTAATTTCATTCTAATATTCCCTCCATATAATCTCTTCATAATTCAAAATTTGAAAACTCAAATATTAAAAAAAAAAAAAAAATACAAATTTGGAATTACAAGTTTCCAAATTCTATAAATGTTAAAAATATAAAAATTACAACAGATATTGTCTCTCACACAATTACACATACACTAACAAAAATAAAACTATTAAATTTTAAATACAAAAACTAAGTCAGCTTAAAATTTGTCATTAGTCGTGCTCTTTTCTCTTTAGCTTGCTTTTCTGTGCTACATTACTTACCACAATTCTTTGATAGAAAAATGTTTCTATTGTTGCCTTATGAAGCATCATTGAGTTTATAATTGAATTACATAGCATCCCAATTTACCCCTATCTTTCAATAAATTTATTATGTTTTTTGTTATGATAACAAGATTCTATGATGAGAATTTGCAACTTAAATGCCAAGAAAATATTTCAGCTTGCTTAACCCTGAACTTCAAATTCTTTAAATGATCCTTCATTCAAATTCTCCAATCATTCCACACAGCTACTTGTCATGATATTGTCGTAGACAAAAATTAGTAGTGTTGAGATTTCTCCTGAAGCTTTTTATTTTACAAATAATGTATGAACCTATTGATTTTGTTGCATCCCATATTGAGTATTACCTTGGTGAATCATTCAAACGAGGCCCTTGGAGATTGCTTCAACACAAACAATGCCTTGTTTTAGCATATATACATTTTATTCTATATTTAAATGGAATCTTAGTGGTACCGCCATATACACTACACCCTCTAGGTTGCCATGTACGAATTAATTCTTAAAATTAAATTCTTGTATTTGCCAGTCTAGATTAGCTGCTAATAATAAAAAAGCTCAAAGTAGCGTTCATTCTAGCAACTAAAACAAAGGTTTCATAGTAATCAATTTCATATGTTTGAGCATAGCCTTTAGCAACTAATTTAACTTTATATCTTTTGAGTGAACCATATGAATTGTACTTTATAGGAAAGATGCATATGCATCCAATTGATTTCTTTTCTTATGATAAGTTTTTCAATCCTCACTTCTTATTTTTATTTTACGAGCTTCCATTTCCTTATTCATAATATTATTCAAAAATTTGTTATTTTATTCCACATTTATTGTCATAGTAATAAAAGTAGAATGCAAGTTAATATGAAAGACTTGGTGATCATGAGAAAATTTTGTATGATAAACAAATGAGAGTGTGTTCAAAAGTTTTCTTATACTTTTGATATTAAGACACCTTTCAGTTGTAGGTTCAATGGTCCCCTCAAGGGATTCAGTATCAGGAATTGATTCGGCTGATTGGACTTCCAAGATTAAAGGATTAATATGTAGGAAATGGCTAAGGTGTAGAATTGGTTTGAGTAGGAGTAGTTGATTTTGGCATGGCACAAAATGGAAATCAATGAGAAAATACTCTTTATCATTTATTAATGATATTTCTTCTTGAGAATAATAAATAATAAAGTAGTGTTCTTCATTTAAGGTGATACTAATAGTTATATACTTATACCTTTCTCTTGGGAGTGATAGCATTTGTATCGCTTTTGTGTGAGAGAATATCGAATGAAGATATTTAATTATTTATGGGTCACATTTTCCTTTATTTTGAGAATGTGTATCAATAAAATC